AAGATTTTCACGGAGTCTTCTTTATCATTTATATATTTTTCTGCGACATTGGCATTCATGACCATCCAATAATCCGTTGTCAGGATGTTACATGATTTTTACTCAGCCCTGCACTGATAGACTTAAATGAGCCATCTCAAGCCTCCGGGATTATAAATAATAGTATTACATTTATTCATATAGCTAAATCTGAATAGGTTCACAGTGATTTCCAATTCTTCGAATTTGTGTATCAAAGCATCTGCAAAATTTTAAATATTCGAACATTTGGTCCTTTATTCAAGCTTCCTCCGGACTTTAGTGATAAAATAGTGAACAAGATGCACAAATCTTTCACAAAACAGGTTACCAAATTGTTTTCAGAGTCTATCACTGTCCTCCAACACATCTCAGTAGTGACAGAACCTAAGTGCCCTCTTTCCACACCTTGGCCACAGCGCTTCATAAATATCTCCTGGCCTTCCATAACATCATCTCTCTGGAATGTCCTACCCGTGTTGAAGATGACAAATGATAGTAATCCCCCCAGTGCAGCCTAACTGAAATTTGCTTGTTTATTTTCAGAAGGGTGCACATCACAAACTAAAATTAGCAAGCAGCCTTCTCCATCAACCCAGGAAATGGGGCGAAACTCACACGTGGTAACACTTCTCCCATCGTGGGAGCTATTTGCTTGTGTCCCTCTCCCTTCGGTCTATCAGGTCCTTGAGAAGGCATGAGGAAACATGTTTAAAAATGATGGAGGCATCCGGTTACAGGAGTCAAGCTTCAGGAGACCAGCCGGCATCGCTTCCCGACTCAACTCTCCGGCTTCAGATTGTCAGTCAATGTCAGCCAGCTGCGAATGCCTCTGATTGCCTTTTGCTGTCATCAGCCCCTTTGCCTAAAAGTGAGTTAACTGTCTTGGTCACTTTTACATGGCAGGGGCAACATAACTGACACCCACAGCTTAAAAGAGGAGAGACTCTTTTGGCCAGGGTTTCAGTCCTCGGTTGGTTAACTCCGAGGCAGGAACACTGGCAATTTTTCAAGATGCGGCTTTAAGTATGATCATCTTTTAAGCTTTTCAGGGGAAAATTCTAGAATAGGCCTAAAAGGAATATGATTTTGATGTTTTATAGGGAAAATATTATTTTTCAATAAAAGATACAATATTTCCTGCCTGCAATGATGGTATTCTGAGTGATTTGGAGCCATAACTTTGACAGTGTAGTATTTAAGAATACATTTCACCCTACATAAGCAATAATTTGAGCTGTATATCAAAACCTTAAGGAAAAAAATACCCAAGGCGTAGAAATTAACTACTTCCACAAGTAAGCGCGTGACTACTAACATTATTGTTCACTGTGGGTTTCCTAAATATTCCCATTTAGAGCGTCTCATCAAACTTGTAAATTCTGATGAAATGTCAGGAAATGGTGTGTGACACAAGATGTGAAAAAGGAAATGTGAGAGACGGTGTGCCACGTATTTAATTTGCCAGGATGAGTTTATCTCTTTTAGAGGTCCTCGGTGTGTGCATCTCCCAAAGCTCTGTTTACACCAGTCTTCAAACAGTAGGAAACATGTCTCAGGCCCACACTGAATCCTCTTACCCTACTGCTCACGTCTCAGTGATCCGTGCCCGGTCCTCCACAGAAGGTCTCGGCCACTCAGGTCCTCTCTACCACTTTCCTAACCCTTCTATAACCCAACTCTCTTTCCCCTTTTTCCTCTTTTTTGTGGCTCCCTCCCTCATGTATTTCATTTGCTTGTCCCCACTGGAACGCCTTTTCCCTACCATTTGTGACCCCAGGCTCTGTATTTTTTTCAGTCCTCCTCCAGACTCAGTTTACCCTGAAAGTTTGAATTTCTGACTCAGTGAGGAAGAATTTTCCATGTCCCACAGATCAGGCATTTCCAGTGATCTCACACTTGCTTACATGGTGACGTAGGATTATTTATTCTGAAATGTTTTAGGTAGATAGATGTGTCTAGTTCACCCAGTATCAATAAAAAGTTACCAAACTAGGAATTAGTGTTCTATGATTTTTTGAATATGTCTTAAATCACCTGATAAGTTTATTTTTACCTTGGAAAGGGGGCATAGAATTATAATAACATCATCTTTAAATTACCTTCACATTTAACATACTGTGATTCTTCAAAGGTAAGAGTTGTCTTTATTTTTTTTCTGTCTTTTACATTTCTACCATAAAGCTAAATGAATAGTTCTGCTAACAATATAATAACTGTGACTATTTATAGAGGATGGGAAAGTAAACAGGTGAATGACAGATTGATTCAGCATTATGCTATTATTGACTTTATAATCACTCATTTCATTGAGCCAGTTTAAAATAAAAATCTACCAATACTTAATTATCCTCTCTCTATACCAATCACATATGTTTCTAATAAATGTTACTCTTTCTTAGCTTGTTTGATTCTCACATCTGCTCCAATAGAATCTGCCTCCCTTTGTCAAAGCCCTGTGGAATCTACCTGTTGAAATCCAGACTATCTAGCTGCTTTTAAACTGGCAATTACTAAAAGAGAAAAGATACAATTCAGATAACTTAGAAACAATAACTTAGAAACGTTATTTTTTAAAGACTGTTTCTTGCTATGTAACTTATATAGTATAACTTAGACCTGAAGTCAGGTCCTCATCTATAGGGCAGAAGCTCTTCCAACGAAACTCATTAACAACCTAACAGAGAAAAGCATAGAAAACCATCTCGGGTCTTCTACCACTGCAGATTTGTGAGCAGAGAGTAAATGACAGGAGTATATTTGGATCGAAGTGTGAAGATATATTTAACTCTCTTCCAGCTCTGATTCTCAGTCCCATTTTGAGAGATAAGAATTAATTCTTGGGTATGCCAACAAGATCCAGATTCCTATGTGAGTTACCATTTTGAATTTTCAGGCGGAAGCTTGTGTGACACAAACCCAGGGGAGGCTTTCGCCTCACCACCCCTTCTGAAAGATCAGGACCTCTGTGAGGATTGGAAGGTTGCTCCCTCTGGAGTCTCTTCAGGGCCAGTGTTCAGTCCTCACCTCATCCTCTCATTTTCAGATCCTAGGAGCTGGGGATCAGATCCTGTCCTGCACTAGTAGAACAGAGAGCTCTTTTCCAGGGTGACCACCATGGAGGAGGCTGAGGGGTGTCATAGTATAAATGCTTGCCCCAAATAAGCAGCCTATGTGGAGAGGCTGCTTCTCATGAGTGCAATAGTTTATCAGGCCTCATGCATCCTCAAATCATCTCATCTAATCCGAAATGAAGGTCCTCTATGACAATGACAGTGGAGACAGCCCATTTTGCAATTTTTTATGCAGTATTTCTTTATTTGAATTAAGTTAGTACATTAATTCTTTTGCTGTTGGCACTAGTTTTTTATGGTTATACATTTGCTATCCATAATGATCACATTCATCTTGGGGAATTGGTACATATGCATACCCCACCACAATCATTTTTACTTCCCTCTCCTCCTGCCCCTACCCCATCTCACTTAATCCATGAGCCCCTCCTTCCCATCTCCATAAAGTTTACTTCCATGTTTTCTTCAGTGTCTCTTTAAATTATGTGTGTTTTGGGTTTCTCACATAAAAGTAAACTTGTGATATTTAGCCTTCTATGTCTGATGCCTGATGGCCCAAGGATGTATCATTTTCCTGCAAATGACTCAGAGTTGCTTCCTCATGGCTGAGTGGTACTGCATCATGCATGTGTTTCATATTCTTTATCCATTCATCTGTTGTCCTACATAGAAGCTACTTCCAAAATTGAGCTATTGTGAATTGTGCAGCAATATACATGGCTATGTATATATCACTGAAATACAGTATCTTTAATTTTGGGGAGAGGATACCCAGAAGAAGCTTAGAGGAGTCAAATGGAATTTCTGAGGTCTTTGTTTCTTTAGAAACCTCCATACTGATTCTCATGGTGGTTCTAATAGTTTAAATTCTCACTAACAATATAGAAGAGTTCCTTGTTCCCCATCACCTTGTCATTATTTGTTGTTTTAGAGGTCCTGATGATAGCCATTCGTTCTCGAGTAAGATGAAACTTTAGCCATAGTAAGAAAGCAAGAGAAAGAATTAAACAAGACAGCAAGTTGTCAAACTAGCCTTCTTCACAGATGATGTGATGTTTTACATAAAATCTCCACCAGAAGACTCTTGAACTGAGAAACAAATTAAGTAGCAAGATACAAAATCAAGGCACAAAAATCAATAGCATTCCTGTACATCAACAACGAACCCACCAAAACAACAACAACAAAAAGGCAGGGGAGGGGACAATCCCATTCCTAGTAGCTTCAAAAAGAATTACACACCTAGAAATTAACCTTAGCAAGAAAGTGAAAATCCCCTATAACCAAAGCCACAGTACTCTGATAAAGCAGATTGAAGAGGACATTTGAAAATGGAAATGTATTCCTTGTTTGCGGATATGCAAAACCAATACCATCACAGTGGCCACATAATAAAACATGACATGTAGATTTAGTGCAAGTCCAATCCAAATGCTATCAGCATTCTTCACAGAACTAGAAGAAAACACTCCTCAAGTTCATAGAAGTTCATAAAGTTCAGAAGACTAAAGATTTTGTACTTTTGCACTAGGTCTTAATAATTGGCTGTGTATGTTAGTCTTTGTGTGGTTAGACTTTGAGAACTCAGGTGGTCTAATAATGTTTATTGAATGAATGAATGTAATATTAAAAATCCTTATGGAAACCCAATGTTATTTGGAAAGGATCGTAAACCTTAGCATGAATCATTGCCATGGTGTAATGGTTAATCTTGGGCTTCAACTTGACTGTCTTGAAAAATACCTGCATGATTAGTAAAGTGAGCTTCTGGGTAGGTCGGTGGGGGCGGTTGTCTTAAGGACTGCAGGCTCCATCCTTCCTCTCTGGCACTTCCCTTCCCAAGGGTGCCAGGAGCTGAACAGCTTTTCTGTGCCCTGCCCTTCTGCATGAAGTTTCTGCTTCGGAGCCAGCGTACCGTGGATACTGAGCCCATGAACTAAAGCAAACCTTTGCTCCTCAAAGCTGCAGGTATCAGGTATTTTGTTGCAGAAACCTGACTAATACAAATAGATTCCAGTGTTCATCCACAAATGAAATCAGGTAAGAAGTATTAATTTCCTACATTTTTCTATTTTTATTTTCAATTCTTCTCTCACAGTTGAGGTGGCGGCAGAGATTCAGTTTCAGTGTTTTGGTGGTGGAGTTATTCCTTGCTCAGGACTATTTTTTCTTCTGTGATAGGAGCAAAACTCTCTCTCTCTTTTTTAAATGTTTCCTCTAAATTTGGGACTGCACCAAGAGTCCCCAGCCTCCTTCTTAAACCACAGCCAGCAAGGTGACTTCAGCCCGAACTTTCCACCCTGCTGTAATTGTTTTCTTAGGAAATGGATGCTAACCTTTAGCTGCATAAATGGAGGCAGAGAGTAGAAAGAGAAATAAAAAGAAACATGCTTAAGAGGGGAAATTAATCAATAATTCCAAAAACATGCCATTGCATTTATCTAAAAAATGCAAGCTCACAGACGACTTTGAGTGAATGGATTTCACCTCAGAGACATTCCTGCTGCAGTAAGGAGCACTATAGCTGCAAGAACCATGTGGAAGAGGATCAGAGGAGCTTCCCAGGTCAGGCCCGGCCACTGGGCCAAGCACGGCTCGCTCACTTGAGCCTCATGGGTTTAACATAGTCCGGGCAGAGTCAGCCCTCAGCTCCCGGGTCCCGGTGAATCACCACCTTACCTTTCTCCTCAGTAACTCATTGCCTGCTGGGTTTCTTCCCTCAGCTCTGGAGCCCAGGGGTCAAAAGGCAGGGACTTCAGTCACACCACGCCACCTCTGCATCACACCAATGCCTGGTGCAGAATAAGTGTGGGATAAGCTTTTATTAAATAGGTAAATGTGTTGAGCAGAAAAAGAGTGGATTCAAAATTCCCTGACCCTTTAAGTCCCTGCTCAAATTTTGAGACTTTCCATGAAATGTTTCACTCCTACTTCTGACCTCTTCCCCAAAATATTGTTTATTCTCAGAGAACAGGTACACACTGTGGTTAAGGGTGTGAGTCCTACAAGCAGGATGCTTTGTTTAAATTCCTGCAGCGGAATTTGCACCCTTGTGCAAATTTCCTGGGGGAAACAATTTAAGGTCCCTGAGTACTGTTTCTTTATCTACAAAATGTAATCAGTTGCAGAATCAATTTGCTTAGGATTGTTACAAGGATTAATTGAGGTGATAAACGAAAAATTTTGAGTTCAGTATGTAATACTCTGAAAAATTATGTTATATATAACTGAAAAAATCATGTTACATTTATCATTTTTCACTTTTATGATAGTTTCAAAACTGCTACATTTGTTGAACACATGCTACATTTTGAGCACTGAGATCAGCACTCTATATGCATTTTTCTCGATGAAGCCATAGTTGATTCTATGGGTCATTAGTTTTCCTCGCTACCATCATGAAACTAAAGCTCGAAGGGGCTCCATGAATTGTCTGATGTTTTAAAACTAATAATTAGATTCGGCGTCTCTTGAGCCCAGGTGACACTGCAACAGCCTTGGTGCTGTCTCCAGAGACATACACATGTAGGTCCTGCACCAGGTTATAAATTCCATTCCAGGTGAGGATTTGATCCGGCTTATTCTTGTATCTCTAAAGCATCCAGCTTAATACTTTATATGCCAAGGAGTAAACATTTTTAAATGATTTAACATAGGCCAAAAGAAACTCCAAAGTCAAGTTCCATCCAGGTCATCATATCGCCCAGGGAACTGACTGTGTGGAAAACACTCTCACACACTGTGAATGGGGAAATCCTTTAGTGTAGGCAGTACCTACACTAATACTCACGTTATGAAAGACTGCCTTCTTTGGGCAGAAATGTCACCTAACATGTCCTTTGCATGTCGGCTGGTTCAGGGTGTAGAACCCTCACAGTCTGTGTTTATTCTGTGTGTGTAGCATAGCAGAACAATTTGCTAGTGCTCCTGACACATTTGAAATTGGAAACAACCATTTATGATACATACAGTGACTTTCTCAGAAAACACCTTATGCAGAGTAACACATTGAAAACTTGGGAGGATTCTGTCATCAACCAGGAGGAGCCTAACAGTGAATCATCAGTTCAGGAGCGAAAAAGATTTCAATGGGAAAGTGTGTAAGAGTTCACAGATCGTTGCAGTGCTGGAGACCACTAATTAGTGGGGTCCATGCACCCTCAGCATCATCCAGGAGCTGTGGATGGAACCACCCTGACCCCGCCCTGACCTTCAGAGTCAAAAATTTTCATTCAGGATTCAGTGATCTGTGTCTTAACAAAACCTCACGATCACCCAATGAATTCTGAAGTTTGAGACTCACTGGGTTACGGTGTATAACTTCCCAGACTTTGTTTCACGGTTAGGAATGCCAAGACACGTACTCTTCCTGGGATCATACGTCTACTTGGTAAAGGCAAGAATGTCTGTCTTCTAATTTAAAGAAAGAGAATTAAGAGAGGTGAAAACAAATGTGGATGGGCTTTGTGTTCCTAGAAGGGAAGTTCCTTTCAAACCCAAAGATCGTGAATCCAGGAAGCTGCCATTCCTGGATGACGAGGCTGAAGGAGGAAACTCCAGCCTCTGCCAGATCTGTGGATGGGAGCACTCCTGCAAGAGCTCCTCCCTGCAAAGCAGGTCATAGGGTGTATGTAACAGCAATCCTCCACGGAAATAAAGGAGGCAGCAGTTTTCAAATTTCTCCTTGTCTCCCACCCTGCACCAACATAGGCTTTTGAAAACAAAATACACAATGGTTGACCTGTGCTCAGTTCTTCTGAACTTTAATTCAGAAGATGCTTTGTAAGTAGCATGTATAGGAGAATGCTAAGAAGTTCTGACCCATATTATGTTAAAATAATAATTTTTTATAATTAATTTATCTTTTTTAAATGCTGATCAATTCAGTTCGAACCAAAGCTGTTTAACACATAGTGCACAGGTTCCAGGGCACCCCTAGCCCCACTAAAGTTCCAAGCAGCATCATAAAAGTTTGTGGACATGGAATATCCACCTGAAGCATTTCTGTACATTTTTTTTCTTCTGAATGTTCTACAAGTCCTATGGCTTACACAATCACTAGCCTTTTTGGCTCACTGAAAATTATTTTACTTTTGATTCTCAGTTTCTTACACGAGTCTCAGATCTCTCACAATAAGACAGTGCGCTTACTAGCTTGTTTGATCCCTCTCTTTTTTAAGTATCCTGGAGATAATTTCTTCTTCCTAAAGATATGCTCACGTCAACTGCCTATATTGGTACTGCCTTCTCTAATTTCCTCTTCAATGCAACCTTCACAAAAGCCTTCTTTTCCGTGAAGTTTTCTTGATTTCCTGGGTATCCATTACTTCCCTCTCCTGCCATGGACCCTAATGTAGATACGTGCCAATCTCTCTGTGAAGCCAACCGTACTTGAATCTACAGAATCACTGCTGATGTGCTTTTGTCTCTCTCCTGTGCTTGAGTTTAGGCACTGCTGCTACAATTATCTGCAATTTGTCCCTGACTCCTTCTTCCACATCACCCCATTCAGAGATGCCACCAATAAAACAACATTGACTTCTCATGTTTTTCCCTGTAATGCTCAGATTTTGTTAGGAAAAAAAATTTTTTTTCAGCTTAGACAACAAATCACAGACTGCAGTTTTTAAATTCAGCTTATGGCCAAGATGAAAGAACACAATTAATGCAGACTAATCAAATGACAAAGATGTCTCCTTTTCCCTTTTTCTCCTCATGTTGAAGAGCTATCATATATAGTTTTAGAAGTCATAAGTCAAAAATAATCATCTGCCTCTAATATTCTTTATTTCCTACTGTCATTTTCTTTTCTCCAAGAGAAATGTGTTTGTAGGAGGAAAAATAGAAAGGATAAAATCAAGGTCTTGGAGTCAACAAGACTTCTTACATTGATGGGAAATTCTAAAATACACATTTCCAGTCAGTTTTGGAGTTCTCCAGCGAGAATTACAGAGTGTTAGAATCCCATTTATGGTTAATCTAGCATATCTTCATAGTGATTTACAGAACCAGAACCAGAAAAAGGACACATGTGCCCCACCTCAACCCAGGGCCCTCGGCATCTGCTTCAGCCAGACACACAGACAAAATCATGGTCACATTAGGACTGGGGCAGGTGGGTAGGTAGCAGAGTTCAAAGTCCGCCCCATAGTGTGTTAGGAGCGGGGTAGTTCGAGCTGGGAGATTCAGGTCATCTGATATTCTAGGTCCTGTTTTCTTCATGCCAATCATAAAAGAGAATTTTGGATAAACACATTGATCCTGGGTCTTTAACAAAACCAAGATGTCTCTTGAAATAAAACTTAGGCACAGAACTTTGAGTTTTCACTTTGAGAAAAAAACATCATCTCCACCAATTTGCACCCTCATGAAAGACACACTGAGTTATGAAAGGTAACTTCCCCTCCCTTTCCCCTTTTACTGGCTTGGCTGGTGGTAACTACGAATTTGCAGAGATGGGCAAATTCAACCAATAAGTTGGCATCATATACACAGGCGTTTGCCCCAGCTCTTAGAGTTGTGTGTACTCCAATCACTATTCCAGAGCACAAGAGCCAGCTGTTCTTTTCAGTGCAGTGCGTGCATTCCTCGGGTACACTTCCACAGCAACCACAGCCTAGGTGTGAGTGAAAGGGCCATCTACCAAGGGTAACGTAACTGGGTCCCAATTGCTCAAAAACTTCTGAATGACTGCACACAAATCTAGTTTCCACCTGTCAGCCTTAGTTACTCTGTCTGTAAAATAGGAACCATTTCATGCATTTCTCATTAAGTCTCATGTCTGCAGTAAACCACCGTGTTAAATTGGGCTAATAGTTTATATCTCTTCCTGCAAAAGCACCTTGAGGGCTTAGGATGACTCCAATAAATAAACCTAAGTAAACTGGATTCCTAGGAAAACTATTTAATGGAAGGGAATTGGAGATGCTCCCAAGTTAATTATTACCAAACGAACCAGTGGAAAAGATGATTTGCTTGTTCAAACTTCAATTCAAAGCATTGATTTTGTGACTTCTCTGGTCTCCTTCAGTATTAAAATCCTCAAGAAGTGTAGGAGGGTAGTCAATAAAAGAAAATTATGTCATTGCATAACCCAGGGCTACTGCTCCTTCCTCCTTTCTATTTTTTCCAGAGCCAGTGTTGCTATCATGGTAAACGCCCTTCAAATTCTGCTATGATTAGTAATCTACATACATCACTTTCCTTTCCTAATAGAAGTGTGCACGGGTGATGATTCTCATTGTCATGGCCTTTTGCATGTGCTGGGAACTATCCTGGAACACTGGGAAATTCTACATCCGAGTATTAAAATAGAAGACCTGCACGAAACATGTACTTATTTTCATTTGAGCTCGTCTGTTTGAAAAGCCATTTGATTTAGAGTCTCTTTTCATTATGGTACCTGAAATGTCACTGATTTGCCATCTTAGAGATGCAAGGTGGGGCTATTACACAAATCATAATTCACTATAGTTTTGCTTTATAGCCATATAGAATATGTGGCCTTCACCGCGTGATGACTGACTCAGGGCTGCAGGGTGGTGGCTGCTTCGTCCAGGACAGCTGGAGAACGAAGTGGACCCCCTGCCGTTTGTCCTCATAGTCAGTGCCTACTCCCTGCACTTGCCTAAGGTTTGATTTGAATTGGTTTTGATGGAAAGATTTCTCAAGCGTATTACACATCCTAGAGCCTAATTAGATATCTGCTGAAGCTACTGTTCTATTCTGTCCTTAATCATAAAGTCAGCACCTGGCCATCAGCCATTCCGTGGGGTCACATCCAGATAAGGAAGGGTCCAGAGAGAGTAGCTTGGTTATTCTTTTGCTGCGTTTCTGACTTGAACTCTCTGAGGCTGTCTTTGAATTTCTTTTCTCACTCTTCATGGTCTGTATCAGTTTTCAATGCTCCTTCTCCAAGCGATTTTTTCTTTCAAAAAATTTAATTATGTGTTTTGCTTTGAGATGACTAAAAGTACAGCTCTTCCGTGTACACTGTGTTCCATTTTCTTCAGTGACACATCTTATAAAACTATGACACAATCTGACAGCCGACACACTCACATTGACACAATCATCCCATCTCATTCAGAGACGCTTCACTTGTGCTGATGTATGAGTGTGCATTTATTTAGTTCTACACCATTTTTTTAATTTAGAGGAAAAAAGCAAAACAGAAAAAAGGGTAGAAGTAATACAGAATTTTTAAAAAAAAAAACAGTAAAAATCACTAGCTGATAAATTACATATTGTTATCTTAGAAGTAGTTTTCAAGTCAAAAAATCAAAGTACAAAAAATGAACAATCAAACAGTGACAGCATAAATTATTCTGTTCGGTGAACCAACAAAAACTTAGTAGTATGGTCATTTGTCTTGCACACTTACACACTTACAGTATCTATTAAACATTTTGAATATTATTACTTTCATCTCATTTCAGAAAGAATGGCTGCCATCAAGAAATCATCTGATAACAAATGTTGGCGAGTGTCTGCGGGGAAAAAGGAGCACCGCTCCACTGTTGGTGGGAGTGCCAACCACTGTGGAAATCAGTGTGGAGATTCCTCAAAAAGCTAGGGTTGGAAGTTCCATTCAATGCAGCTATTTCCCTCCTGGATATTTTCCCAGAAAAATTGAAAAGATCAAGTCACAGTGATGTATGTGCACCCATGTTTATAGAAACGTAATTTGTAATAGCTAAATCTTGGAAACAACCAAGATGTCCATCAACCGCAGAATGGATGAAAATAATGCAGTTTATACCATGGAATATTACTCAGCTATAAAAAGGATGACCTTGAGGCCTTTATAGGTAAATAGAGACAACTTGAGACTGTCCTCATTAGTGAAATAAATCAGATTCATATTTGTACATATCATATCATCTCTCTGGTTCTACACCATTTTATCAGTATGAGTATATGATTGTCAATAACATGCTACGATACAAAATATTTTCATTACCTCAAGGTCTTTTGTGTTACCCTTTGGTAACCACCCTTACTCTCTTTCATGATCTTTGCCTTTCTTACTCTCTTCGCTGGTTTAGCACAGCTACTAAACTGTATTTCATTTCTATAATTCAAGAATTTACACAGTGCAGATGAAATTATGCAGCAAGGAGCCCTTTGGGATTGGCTTTTTCTAATCAGCTTAATTCTCTGGATATTTATCCACGCTGATGAATGCTGTGGATATACCACTGTTTACCTAACCGCCCACCCACCAAAAGATATTTGGGTTCTTTCTTGCTTTTAGCTATTTTCCTGACAAATAAATCTGTTATGAGTATTCATGTAAGACTTTTTATAGGAATATAAGTCTTCACTTTCTGTGGATAAAGTTCATTGTTGAGTTGCATGATAATTGCATATACAGTTTTATAAGAGACTGCTCGACTCTTTTCCAGATTGGCTACAACACATATTTATTGTCAGTGTGCAGAAATATAACTGATTTCGTGTGTGTTGATCTTCTATGCTCTGACCTCACCCACTTCACTTACTAGTTTGAGTTTTTGGCAGATTCTTTCGAATTGATATGGTTATCTATGTGTCATTTTTTTCCCCTGACTTACTTTGTCTTTTAAAATCCCATTTTTAACTTGTAGAAGGATTAGGAAGGAAGCCCTGATAGAACTCTATGATAAAGGAGAGCCATTCAATGTTCATGTAGTTTAAAGCAGAGGCACAAACTGGCACTGATAGGAATTGATAAGAAGGTGTTGGTTACTTTTCTCTTGTTTTTGAGACAAAATGCCCAGCACTCAAAAATGAAGGAAGGAAAGGTTTATTTAGCTTGCAGATTGTGGAGGTTTCAGTTCATAATCAGCTGGCTTCAGGCAGGGTGGCATGGCACTGGGCAACACTAAAAGACAGCTGCCAGCAAAAACAGCCAGAGCAAAAAGGGAGGGGGGAGAACAAGGTTCTTCTTCTCCCTTATTTTGCATGTAGGGCGCGCCCCACCCCAGGGTGGGTGCAGCAGTCACCCTACCTCTGTGCCCTCCTCTTGTACAGGCTGAGGATATTTACAAAGTAAGGATCCTGGATCCCTGCTGAGACTCTTAATAAAAAGCTAAACTTCTCACGTTGACACAATGTATCAACCATAACAGAAGGTGTCCCAGTTTCAAGATCTTTACCAAGACCCCAAGCACCTGCCCTTAACACACTGCGTTAGATCTCTATCTCAGTCTCTGTGTCGGTAACTAGATTATAAAATCCTCGATGGCAGGAAACTAATTTTATCATATTTTAGATTTGTGATATCATATTTTAGATTTAACACAGAGATCTGAGTAGATAAAAAGCGTCTCTGTGATTTGGCTATGGGAACCTGGGAAAATCCACCTTGAAATGTTCTGTCGTTTAGCGTGATTTATGCCAAACATTCCCTCCAGGAGACTTGACTGACTTGCCCCAGGCTTACTGTAAATAAATATAAAGATCACTCATTAATTTGTGGCACTGTCCTGGAAACTGACTCCACGCAGTCTTTCTCCTTGCCTGCTCCACAGTTCTTTTGCAGAGAGGTTTCTTTAATCTGTGTTGTCTGTAAGCAGAATCTCAAGGTCTAGGCTGAAGCCCAAAGGTAGATTTTATTTTCCCACTTTGTGTCTGGTGACTGGCTAATAGTTCTTAAATTAACTGTACGCCAAACTTTTTGACCCATCAAAGGTCCCCATGACGGTCAAAACAGTTTTCAGCAGACAGGTGAAACGCTAAGACCCTTTATTTAAATGACCTCAGCATAGTTAGATATTTATTTTGATTTCTTTCCAACGATCTCAATTCTCACTCTTTACAAACAACTTGAGAAATCATGTTTCCTTGTGACATGGATTTTTGCTGCTTCCAGTTCTCCGTTTGCCCAGGATGGGGGAGTGCACGCTCTCTTGTTCCCACTCCAGCATTCCTTTCCTCTCTCCGTAATGTTTTGGTTCCTTCTGAAAACTCTTATCAAACCTGTGCTGTGCCCGCGCCCCTTAGCCAGGTCGCACACTGAGCACAGCGTGCTAACTCCAAGCTTTGGCTAACGTTTTGCATCTGCAGAAGGACTTGCAGAGTCACCCGCCCTGCTTGCACTACCTGAAACCAAATCCTCTTAGGGTAGGAAGGTCTGCTCTGTTTCTGATCCTACTGCTGCAATTCACTGGATGTCTCCTTAAACATGGCTTTCTTTTCTCAGAGGCAGCTTTTTAAAACACCATCTTAGTTAGCTGTGGGAAATCAGGTGCAAAAGTCACTCTTATGTACACTGCAAACATCTTTCTTCATGACACTGTTGAAAATCCAGAATGACCACAGCTTATGCTTAAACTGCATTATCTAGAAACAATATAGTCCTAAGGGTAAGAGAATATATTTTAATAGTAAAATACATGCAGTAAGGAGTAAATATATGAATTAGATATACATGTTAGAGAACAAGCACTCACGTAGACATCAAGATTAGAGATACTCCACATTATAGCTCTTTTAGCACTTTGGGTATTCGTCCCTAATCACATTTTCTTTCTCCTTGATAGAATAACTACCATCCTGAATTTCATCTCTCTGTGTCCTTCTCACCCTTTCAACCTTCCTCTGCCTCTGTCCCTGAATTTCATGGCTTCTTGCCTTGATATTATTTCCCAAACAATAGTTCTGATGATTGACACTTTTATTTACCCTAATTCTAAGTGTAATTTTTGTAAAATTACACTCTATATTAAAATATCTCTGCGATTCATTCACGTGGCAGCCAGTAGCTGTATCTCATTCAGTTAGTTACAGGACAGTATTCCATTCTCTGACTATCACAGCTTAGGAATCCACTCCACTATTGGTTGATGACTTCAGTGATGTCCTATTTCTGCTATTGCACAAGAATAATCTTGAATAATCTTGTGGTGTTTTTGGTGCACACCCTAGGATCCTTCAATAACGTATGGGTAGGCGTGGATTCATGATGGTGGGGACTTTTTGTGTGTATTTCTACTGTCTAATGGCACATTGCTCTCCAGTCATGCTTCTTTGTACCCCTGCTTAGAAAAGCCCAGAATTTCCATTGCTCTGATCTTTATCCTATTTGATATTAATTACCTTTTAATGTCTTGACAAGTAATAAGCATGAAATGATATTTCGTGGAGGGTTTATTATTATTTCATGATTGATATGAAGGTTGGGCATCTTGTTTCATATTTATTGTAATTTTTATTTCCTTTTCTGTAAGATGTATAAGTCTATTGTCTTTATATTCTTTTTTTATTTTAAGTTTTATTAGCATATGCTTGGAGCACATGAAGGTGTGTTCATTGTGGGGAGTCAGGGCATGAACATAACATCTTTTCATTCTTCTCATGCTGCATCCTTTCTTCCTGCCCCATCTCTTAGCCCTCTTTATATTTATAATGTTGTTTTATCTTTCTGTATACTGTTTTTTTTTATTTAGAGAAAAAAGCAAAACATAAAAAGGATATAAATATTACAGATTTTCAAAAATATATCACTAAGAAATCACTACTTGGTAAATTACATGTTGTCATCTTAGAAATAGCTGTTCAAGTTACAAAATTAAAGCATAAAAAGTGAATAGACACTCAAACACTGACAGTACAAACCATTCTGTTTGATAAACCAACAAAAACTTAGTAGTATGGTTATCTACCTTACACACTTAAACAAAGATACAGTTCTACCCTTTAGAGCAATTTCCTACCTTTCATTTTTACAATATCTGTTACACCTTTTGGATCTTATTATTCTTTCAGTTTTTATTATTTTTTACAGTAGAAAGACAATGTGATATTTACAAATATGAGTCTGATTTATTTCAGTTATGAGGATAGTCTCAACTTGCCTCTATTTGCCTATAAAAGCTATCCTTTTTATAGCTAAGTAATATTCCATTGTATAAAAATACCACATCTTTTCATCCAACTCTGCAATTGATGGGCATTTTGGTTGTTTCTAAGATTTAGTGATTTAGCTATTACAAGTTGTGTTGTATAAACATGGGTGCACATATATCGCTGTGACCTTTCAATTTTTCTGGGAAAATACCCAGAAGGGAAATAGCTGGATTGAATGGAACTGCCAATCCTAATTTTTTGAGGAATCTCCATATTGATTTCCACAGTAGCTGCGCCAGTCTACACTCCCACCAACAGTGGTGAAGTGTTCCTTTTTCTCACAGCTTTTAAAACATTTGTGATTTTGTGAGGGCAGGCATTCTTTCTGGAGTGAGATGAAATCTCAATGCTGTTTTCATTTGCATTTCTCAATGACCAGTAGGGTGAACATTTCTTCCTGTATTTATTTGACATTTGTGTATCTTCAACTGAGAACGTGTGTTCATCTTGGATGCCCATTTTTGGAGAGGGTCTTTGAATTTGGGGGACTTGATGTTTTTCAATGCTTTATATGTTCTTGATATGAGTGCTTTGTCTGAGGGGTTGCTGGCTATAATTCTTTCCCATTCTGTGGGTTTTCTTTTCATTTCAATGGTGATTTCTTTTGAAGTGCAGAAACTTTTCAATAATATGAGATCCCAGTTGCTGATTCTTTGAAGTATTTGCCATGCGTTTTGTTCATGAATTTTCTGCCTATTTCTGTTTCCAAGATTTTTATCTACTGGTAGATGTAGTGTTTCTGTTTCAATGTCTATATCTTTACATCTTTGACTTTAGTTTAGTGCATGGTAATAGGCATGGGTCTATTTTTTTGTGGGTTTAGCATGCGGAAAGCCAATTTTTCCAACACCATTTATTAAAGAGGCTATCCTTCCAGTGAACATGTTTAGTACCTTTGTTAAATATTAGGTAGATGAGTGCCTTTGTAGTTGTGTTTACATCTTCTAATCTGTTCCATTGGTCCTTAGGTCTATTTCTTTTCCAGTACCATGATGATTTTATTACTTGTAGCTTTGTAATATAGTTTCAAATCAGGAATTGAGATGCCTCCTGCCTTGTTTTTGTTGCCCAGAATTGCCTTTGCTATTCTAGGTTTCTTCTGTTCCAAATGAATTTTAAGAATCTTTTTTCTAGATCTGTGAGGAATGTTAGTGGTATTTTGATTGGGATTGCATTAAATTTATGTAACAGCTGTTTTAATCTGATTTCAGTTTCTTTAACAAAATAGCCTAGACTGAGTACTTAATAAAGTCTGAATGTTTACTTAGCTCATTGATTTCATTTACATTTCTCTAAGGGCCAGTGATGTTGAACATTTGTTCATTCAGATAACATCTTACTCATGGATATAATAAAAAAATCAAAGAATAACCAGTGCTGGAATCCTTCCACACTATTGGTGGGAATGTAAATTTTTACAGTTACTACTAGAAAGCATGAGGGAGATTCCTCAAATAACTAAAACTAGAAATCCCATTTACCCAGCCTTTCTTGTTCTAGGGATCTTCCCCCAAATATTTAACTGATCATGTTACAGTGATCCATGCTACCTACGTTTATAGCAGCATGATTTATAACAGCTAAATCTTGGAAACACCCTAGATGTCCATTAGAAGGTGAATAAACAAAACTTGGTAGTTAACGACAATGGAGAACTACTCAGCCATAAAGAAGGATAAACGGGGCATTCCTAGATAAATGGATGCACCTTGAGTAATTTTAAGTGAAATAAATTAGACAAACTAGCTTAAATGCCATATAGTTTTGCCTTTGGGAAACCTGAAGTATAAATAAATAGCAAAATAAAAGGTAGACTGGGGAGCTCTTTTTCAAATGGAAAGGGGTGAAGGGTAGAAGAGAATGGGTAGAGAAAAGAATTACAGGAAATAGTGGAAGTAGTGGAATAGTGGAAATAGGAAGAGGACCAAGAGTTAAGGAAGAGCAAGGGAAGGGTAGGGACAAAGAGTGAAGCTGTGTTACGCACAGCTCCCTGTGGTAAATGTACTCATTGTGTACTGGAAACATGCACTAATTTAAAAAAGAAGCGTACTTGGCTCATCGTTCTAGAACCCAGGATGTCAGGAACTTGTTCCGGCATTTGCTCAGCTTGGGTGCCTCAGCGTGGTCAGGGCACTGCACATCGAGGTGGAACAAGCACACTCGCTAGAGCTTCTCTCACTTTCCCTATAGAGGCACTAGCACCACCATGGGACCCCAAGCTTACGACCTCATGTGGCCCTAATTACCTCCAGACACCGTGAATTTATAAGATGGGGGATTTAGTTTCCATGACATGAACTTCTGGAGTGCACATTAAAATGCATAGCAGATATATGTATTTAGTTATGTCTGTGAATCACTTAGCTTTGCTCAATACATGGCTTCCTTTTATATATGGTGTTTCTGTTCAAAAGAAGCTTTAAATCTTAATGTACATAAATATTACCAGCAATCCCTTTTGAAATTTGTGTTTCATTTAAGAAACAATTCTTTAAATTTGTAAGAGTATTGTCCAGAAATTCTTCTCCATGTTCTGAGATATTGTCTTTTACATTTATAACTTTTATCTGCTAGGAATTATAGTTTGGTTTATGAGATACAGAATTGATTTTTAAATATTTCTTCAATTTGAGTAACCAATTGGCCAAGCACAGTTTTTCAAACAGTGTGTGCTTTGCTCACTGATTTCCAATGTGTAGAGTAGCATCACTGAAGCTTTATGTATGTTTTGAGCTTGTTTTTAAGATTTAGTTTGTTTCACTTTGTTTACCCCTGCAATAACTAAATGCTGTCATAATTCCAATAGTTTTAAATGAAGTTAAATCTAGTAGAGCAAGGCTCCTTCATTGTATGCAAGCATTGTCCTCAGGAAATGTTTGAGCTAAAGTTAGGTTATCCATTTTAGGGTTTTTTCCTCCCCATTTAGTAGAGTATTACGGCTACAAATGTTTCCATAAGTGGTTCTTTAACAAGCAAAACACTTTCAATTTAAAAACACAGAAAAGTGAAAGTGAAATTTTGGAAAATGGTACCACCCAAACAGCACCCAAGAGAGAGGTGGAAGGACTGCAGCAAACTCAAACAAAATACTCAGAGAACAAAAATTGTTACTGTACAGTGGCAAGCAGGAACACTGAAAGGACACCAGGTGTGGACCAGGGTGTGGGGGCAGATTTATTTACGTTGACAGGCACTGATCAGGATCATTCCCAAAATACCAGTCCTTGATCTCTGGTGGTCTAGGTTATATAGGATAAGCAAGCAGGAAGTGCAGAAGCAGAATGGCTTGTCAAGTGAGGATTGGTTTATACAATGTGGATCATACTGACCAGCTGCGCATCAGTGACCAGCCTTTTCTAAGGGACAGAAGCAACAGAAAATGAAACAGAAACTATCACCCAGGCAACCAGGAAGCTGAAGTCTACTGGCTGGGAGGAGGCATTACATCTCCCCTCTCTTTTAGTTTCTCCAGAAAATCTTTGCTGGGCATGTTACATGTGATCTTCTGAGACACAGCCCATCTAAAAGCAATAGACCATAATTTAGGCCTGACTGTTCCGTAACACTACTCTGGCAAGGTAGTGAGGTAGTTACTTTGACCTAGGAAAGTGTCCAGTGTGCCCTGAATGCTTGTTAAATATTGGTCAACTATCTGACTGATTTTTTAATTTTCTTGGCGCAACCATCCACAGAGTTTAAGGCCAAAAAGTCACAGGTAGCAGGTGAGGACTGTAGGAGGCAGCCTGAGAGTAAGTGTGGAGCAATCCCATGAACGATGTCCTCAGGCTTCAGCTATGCATGCATTGTCTCTTCAGACCAACTCCTCAAAGGAGTCATCCAGGTAAGTTTTTCAGGAGATCTGAGGATGGATTTCTGAGACTTGCAGAGGTAGTTAACATGTACATGGGTTATATATGTGTACAGGAATGTCTATAGTTACGTCTGGTCTTCTAACTGGTTATAAGTTGTATGTTTTATTTCTGTGTAATCTATTTATATATGTATATTTAAATGCGGAGAGTCCACTATAATGCATGAGGTCAGGGCCAGTAACAGACACTGAAGACTGAACTGGTTTCAGGTGTACAGGTGTCAGCACTGCAGCTTGAGTTTGCAGAACAAATGGCAGGGACAGTTCTGGCTCTGATCTTCTGGGAATACTGGGTAATGTTTTTCTGGCATCAGCTGATGTTTCAATCCGTTGGATCATCAGAGGGGGCTTAGGCCTCTGGACTGGATTACTTGTTGGTGGCAGGATTCCAAACAGCAGCAGAAAGCAGTACAGATCATCCCAGCAGGAGAGATTTGGCCCAAATAGTTTTGTTCCGAGGGACCACAGTACATATAACCTGCTGGACTTCATTTTTAACAGATCTGCTTCTACTTGTAAACAGAGTATACTCAGCATCGTCAGGGGATTCATTTTTAGAACAGCTCATCCCAGTACAGCATGTGGCACCTGGACAGTTAGGTCTTGGTCTAAGGTGAGCTTGTTGCCTTTCTTGATCAGAAGGGCAGTGGCTGTTAGATCACAGAGGCAAAGGGAGGGTGCATCTCTTAGAGGCCATTGGGCATTCCCAGGGACTTACAGCCCGAGCAAGCTTATAGAAACCAGTGGCTCCAAGAAATTTGTAGGTTTGGGGGGTTTTTGGTAACTGATTTCTGCCAGATATTATAGGGGAGCTTTTGTGTCTTTTCAGCAGGCAGCTTAATCGGAAGTGATTTTTCAAAGAGGAAACAAGTGTTTAAACATCTAAAAGGTTGCATCCAGGTGAGTTGTGAAGAGGGCTGGCTGATAGGAGCCAGTTGAAGGCATTTCTAGGTGTATCAGCAGGCTATGGGTGGCAGAAGACTGAGGCAATGTATGTGCAGGGCAATCACAATGTCATTGGAAGGTCAGGGATTTGTACTGGTTTTACAGGCAGGAGAGATACGTTTTAGCAGTTTGAAGGAGCTGGAAGAGACAGAAATCTTGAGGAAAAGATGCTGGTGGCTTGGCCAAATCTGTTGTTAGAGCCTCCTCCAAAATAGTGGGAGAGTTCCTCAACCTTTATAGTAGTTGAGTAACTTTCCAAAAAGGGTTCATGGGTTGGGAACCATAGAACGTAAGGTGACACCTGTGTTGTTGAGAGTGACAGCATTGGGGGTTATGATGAAACAGTATAGTTGGTGGCCAGGCCTGAAGATGAGCCTTTAGTTTATACCACCGGAAGAGTTTTCAGAACTTCGGGATTACAGTTATCCATCTCACACTGATGCAAGTATCGTCTTCCTCTCACAAAACAGGCAGAGTTGAAAGTGCAGGGTTGAATGAGAGGGAGCCTGACAGACTTGGTGCAAAAGAGAGGAACTTGAAGAGGAAGTCTCTTTCCAGAAGTGGAAGACTGACGAAGATGGGGATGACCTGTGCAGAAATCCGTGATGGATGAATTGTACACCAATCTTACAGGATCTGCTTTGGCAGAATTTCTTCTCAGTGGGAGCTCCAGTGGGTAACTTCGGTAACTTTACACATGCTGATTGGCTCTTTATGCCTCTTTGAGGCCCGCCAGGAGAGCAATGTGGTACTAATAAAAGACTTCATGGCCCTCTGTTGCATTATAGTCTCAGTTTGAATGCACTATAGGGCAGACTGTGTTCACCCAAATGTCAGGATCAATCACAGTGGTAGGGACCTTTGACTTTAACCAGGGTTGGACTTCATCTAAAATGTACTGCTATTAAACACTTCAGTATTAAACAGAGTCAGAAGGAGTTGCTTATGGTCATCCCATATTGGCAGAGGGGTATACAGGTGTGGAGCCAAGGTGGAAGAATTCTTAACCCCTTATGGCAATAGAGTCCTAGTGAACTGCCCTTTTGTCTCAGAACTGTCCCAGTTGAAACCTTTGACACAGGGAACTTTTAAGATTTCTTTCTTTCTTATTAATTACTTTTAGTGTCTACAGTCCTTACAATTTCTAGTTAGAGGGTATCACTGTCTATCAGACTGGATTTTCTTATGGACCTCAGGTGCTTTTTATCAGGTTTCTGGATAGCAGTAATTTATGGACTTATTGTCCCCCTTCTTTATGTCTTTAAAAAGTACTTACCTGGGTTGTTTATAGGTTAGGCAACCTTTGGAAAGGCTATGGTAACTCATTCTTTAGGGCTGACAGCCCAATTTTTCTTCACTCAAAATGCAGAATCTAGAAGGAATTGTTGACAGTCATCTTGGGTGAATGTTAGATGATGACATCTGACTAGGAAAAGCATATCCCAAAAGGGGCCCCTGTGGCTGACTGCAGGCAATGGCTAGCTACAACGAGTTCAACTGGCTGGAAGTAGATGAGTTGGGAGGGAGAGTGAAGTTATAGGTGTTGGCAGCAGCTGCAGAAGCTGATGAAGGTGCCAAGGTGCAATTCTCTGGAAGAATGGGCCTCTTTTTCTTTTTTTCCAAATTACAGGGAGCAGTTTGGTTTTATTTTAACTCTGTAAAAGCCCTTTTTCTGCCATCAGGGATTGTGGGTTTTGACTAATTCTTTCCCATATGTATGTTATGTATATGTATGTTATGTATCCAGGAATGATAGCATAACAGACAAAGAGCGGGTGCCCTTCAGAGAGAGACCATTTAGATGCCTGCATGCTCATGCCCCTTGTAGAAATTTAGGCATAATTTAGTTAAAGAGGGTATAAGACTTCCATTATGCTACACGTTAATCACCATGGAAATGCATAGCCTTCTCTCTGCGTGTCACAGAAGTGCTTTCTGACCTCCTAGTTAGTTCAGCTCACATTATGCACATAATTCCCATCATTCTATCACTCATCCTTGAGCCACTCCCTTCTTCATGAGTTAATAAATTCTGCTTTAGGGCCCTGCATTGAACCTTTAATGAATCCTCATCTGGACTAGACTCAGGATCCTTTGGCTGCCCTTAACTATAAATATATCTCATTGTCTTTACTCTCACTGTGGGTTGTACTGGGAGGTGGTAGATTGAAATTAGTTCATCAGGATCCCAATAATGTTTTCATGGGATTACAAATATAAATTTCCCAGTCTGCAATAAGGACAGAAAAGGAGCCTCAGTATTTGGCACTCAACATGGTCATTGACATAAATAAATCTGCCTCCAAATCCTGGGTGTCATTTTAGTGTTACTGCTTGCAATTGCATCTGGCACATCAGCCAGGAAGACTGGCCATGCTAATCCCTTTGCTCACCAATCATGGCCCTTGTGTATGAATCAAGGACCTCTCTAGGTCCCAAAGGGAAGGTGTACCCCTGAAATTTCCCCTCAGAGGCCTGGAGGAGAATTCCTGGCTCCCTGCCCAGTGAACTCACATTGGACCCAAAGGGAAAGGATACAGTCTGTTTGTCTGTCTGCCTGCATGATTCCAGTAAGACCCCTGGGGTCGTCCTGGTTAGTCTGTTGTTAGTCCTGCTTGACTCAAGCAGAAGAGGGAGTCTAATGAACTTCCATTAGCAGGACCACCCTCAAGGGAAGGGAATTTGAATGTTTAATCTCTGAGTACTTGCTAAATAAATGTGTGAGTGAATGGAATAGAAAGGATAAGCAATAGGCTGCTCCGTCTGTGCACTAAGACTGGGAACCATGATGGCTGATTGGGCAATTACCTGAAGTTTACTTTCTTAGTACTTTTCATAGCCAACACAGCTATTGGCTCCATGGCGTTAGCTCATTCAATACAAATATTCACTTTGTAGACAATTAGACAAACACTCCTAGTGAGAGCTAAAATTTCAGCAAAAAAATGATATAAAGTTGCACATCCAAGTGATTATTCTAAAAACTTCAGTCCTTTGGATAGGAGATTGAATTGAGAGTTTGCAATTTCAATAGAGTTTAAAGTGTCACTATAATATGACTTGCTTTTGTTTCACCTATTACCACATAAGGAAAGGCTGCATCTTTAAGGAATGATCAAATAACATAAATGAGGAAGAATCCATCAGAATATCACTATGGATATACATGCTCTTCAGAGACTAGTGCTGTTTGTGTAACATCTGACAGCTACATTTAATACCCAATTTAAAGATTGAGATGTCTGCTGGTGCTATAAAACAATTGAATCCATTTGCATATTTCAAGGCTCACTTTTGGTTTTCTATTAGATTTAGTGTGCTCATTTTTTTGTTTATAATTTTTCACATTAAAGTCTTTAGTAGAACTTTCACAACCCAGAGACAACTAGAGGCCATGCAGCCATGATTGACCCTGCTCCAGCTCTGTCAAAAAAAAAAAAAAAGGACAGAGGAACTGTAGACCATATGGAGGGCTCTGCTTGAACACAGAACAATTACCTCCATGTTCGCTAAACCTTGCCCTGTCTCCATATACTGATATGTACAGAGCTGGCTAAGCTACTTCCTTTTCCTTTAAATTGGCTTAAGCAATGTAAATAGGACTAGCTGAGATACTGATGTGAAATTTTTGAAGCCAAGCAACAATCCTATTTCCTCACACTAATGTCCCCAACTAAATGTTTGAGCCCAGCGAGATTGCAGAGCCATTGCTCCAGGAGTGTGAACTGGGTTTGAATCTCAAGATAAAATGCTATGACTTTCCAGGGTGAAAAGAAAGTTTGCATGTCAGAACTAAGGCACCAGCCTCCTAAACATTAAATGCTACCTCAATTATGTTATGCAGACTGGTCTTCCTGCATATCCTTCCTGCTGCAAATTGCAGAGGTGCTTTCTAGCCTCCTAGCTAGCTCAGTTCACATTACTCACATAATTTCCACCAGTTTCACCACTACTCACCCTTGAGCCCCTCTCTTCTTCACAAATTAATAAATTCTGGGTTAAGTCCTGGCTCAAGGCCTTTGTTCTATGAAACCTCATCTGGGCTGGATTCAGAACTCCTTGGCAAACCTTAACTGTAAATATGTCTCAGTGTCTTTACTCTTTTTTTTTTGTTTGTTTGTTTGTTTGTTTAAAGTCATATGTTTTATTTTTATTTTTTTTAATTTTATTTAAGGAGAAAAAAGAAAAAAACAGAAAAAGGGTACAAGTTATACAGACTTTCAGAAAAATAAACAGTAGGAAGTCAGTAGTTAATTACATATTGTCATCTTAGAAATAGTTGTTGAAGTTACAAAATTAAAGCATATAGAGGGGACTTTCAAACAGTGAGACTGCAAACAGTTTTGTTCAATGATCCAACAAAACTCAGTAATATGGTTATTTATCTTATACACTTAAATATATATGTAGTTATATCTTTTAGAGAACTTTCTTTTCCTTTCTTTTGTACGATGACAATTACACATTTTTTGTTTTATTACTCCCACAATTCTTATTGCTTTTTTTTTTTTTTGAAGAAAGTAAAACCAAATGTGACATACCAGGACAGAGTCAGTCAAATCAAAAGGATGGACATAACACATAATGTAAAAAACAAAATACAAGGTGATCAACAATGATTACCACACTGCCTCTTGCTATCTTAAGAATAATTGCCTAAATCATCAGTTATAATAAAATTGAACAAAACAGTAAAGAATAAGACCAATAAAGCCAAAACACTGGAGACCTTAGAGGACTTCAAAAGAAGATAATAGTCAACCAGAATGGGCATCACAGTGAATCTTACTGTCTTCATAGTTGTTGCCTATACTTTCAAACTTGGTACTATCAAGCATAACAGAATAGAGGAAAATCAGTTGAAACAAGATAGTGAGAGCAATACAGAGTTTCAAATCAAGTTAATAGGAAATCAAAGTGGATTACTATAATATATCCTGCTATTTTTCATTTATTTTTCCCTTAATTAAAAGGATAAAATGAAAAAGTAGATAATAAAAAGGAGATTGAGATTAAAAAAAAAAGAGGGCATAACAACAAAACAGTGCAGGTCAAAACATAGCCATTTAAGCAAAATAGTGTTTCACCACAAGATAATCTCGACATAATAGTAGTTACCATAGTGTCTCTTCCCTTAAAATCTTTGGGTATAACTTCGTATACTGTAGTATCAAATGTATCAAGACAATGTAAAACCATTCAAGAGAATGACAGTATTATAGGGTATTTAGAATCAACTAACAGAAAATGAACAATGGTTTCTGTATAATCTCCTTGTCTATAAAAGTTTCTGTTTATTATCACATATAATAAAATCCAATAAGATACAACATGTTAAAACTGATGGGGACAGAAGAACAAAAGCTTGATGGGACTTCAAAACAAGAGGATATTAAATCAGCACTACCTATTATGATGTCTTTTTTTTTCTCCAAAATGGCTGTTCTTACCATCTAACCTTCTCTGCCTCATTTCTGTTGAGCTCTTTTTCTGTCATTTAGTTGTCAGTTTGTTCTCTTCATTTCGCTTTCTGCTCCATTCATTGTGGCCGCTCTGCCACTGTTTCTGGAATCTTGGTATTTTTCATTTTTAGAATATCCTGCAGTAATCTCTGTAGAGTTGAATTGGTGGTTACAAATTCCCCTAGTTCCTCTTTATCCTGGAAGCACCTTGTTTTTCCATCAATTTCTAGGGACAGTTGTGCAGGATATATCAATCTTGGCTGGAGGTTATTATCTTTCAAAGATTGAATTATTTCCCCCCATGCTCTTCGTGATTTG